GAGAAACTGCTAGGTAGGTTCAGCACAAATTTCAGGAACTGCCTTGGGCAACCCAGAACATGTTTTGATGAATAGAAGTTTTGACAAGACAATTTCACTTCGTCAGAAACCCTTCTCTTTTTACTATGCAGCTGACCTCTCTCTAAATGGAAGGTCCCTGAGCGTTTGTGAAAAACAATAGGAAACAGCATCTACATTATTTGTTCTTCCTCAGGAGGGATTATCCATGTCTGGTCTGGTTAATATTTATGATATAATCTCCGTTTATGGCCCTGTTCAACAGTAGAAGGAATATAAAGAGCAGAGTAGACCCAAAGAGCACTGCTGGTCTGAGCTTCTGCCCGTAGACTTGGAAACAGTTGGCTAGAGCAGGAATAAATGTCTCCTACAAATGAGCAGGTTTATAAACAACTACAGAGCACCAGCTCTTCTATCAAGTGAAAATCTTCAGGGTCTCAAAGTAATCACTGGTAGCAAAGTCCAGATGTTCCTCCATAACTTGCAATCTCCAGTCACCTCCATGGCCAACCTCACCCAAACAGCTGGATGCCCTTACTCATTTTAAAATGAGTCAGGGGAAATTCTGAGATTTTTCAAAGAAAGGTAGCAAGTTAAAAGCCATGAGGCAGAACAAAACAATGCAAGTCTTTTCAGTATAAGAAAAAAAGGCTAACTGGGAAGGCAGGCATGAGAACAAGGTGCTTTTACTGGATAAGACATATTTCACACTGTTCCTCTTCACCTGCAGTCCTGAAGTAACTCTTGAGTAGTAATATTAGTGCACACTGGACACTCTTCAGCCAGATTTGTGCTGGCTGTATCTTTGTATGCCCAGGTTACTAGTGGAAATGGTCAAGACCAACTAGGTTTGTTTGCTATAAATCTGTGAACACTATCTTGTAAACAGTAGCAAACAAAATACAATCAATGGAAGCCAAAATGGAGCTAAATCAATGCTGAAGTTGCATAATGGACTGTTTAGATATTAGGAAATATAGAAGTTAATGAGGTACTAACAACCTGGTCTCAGGTCCCCCTGTGCAGACATTCTGTGTTACTATTTTACTTTTTTTTTTTTTTTGAGAGTCCATCTTGTTCTTACCTTGAAGAAGTGCTGAATATTGCTTCTCTCAAATATATGAATATCCATGACTGGAGATGAGACTGATTTCACAGACAGTGAGGTTTTTTAGCAGCTTATATCCATACAACTTAAAGTCATGGTGGAAAGATAAAAGACATGGGTTGCATAGGAGCTGGTAATTGGGCAGAGCAAGGTACAGATGGCAGGATTGGGGCTGAATAGAAACTTAAGAAGGATTTTTCCCCAGGCACTGGTAGGCACGCAGCCAAAACACAAAAAGCCTTCTCTAGAGGGAGGTGAATTCCTTCCATCCTGCAATGGGACCAGAGCAAAACAGGAGAAGCAATGTCACAGTGGTAACAAAACAGCTAGCTCTCCTGCGCCTCCTAAGGACAAGTGCATGCTTGGAGGGGCAGTTTGCCCTTAGACAGCTCTGGAGTTCTGCAACTAGTTCATACAAAGGGGGTGGAAGGAAGAGGAGGCTGTGTCATGCTAGCCCTTCTCTCACACACACACACACACACACACACACACACACGCACACGCGCGCACACACACACACACAGACATATTGATGACACTGAAAACAGTTACGATAATCATCTCACTATCTTCCTCTTCCCTCAATACAGCCAAACTTCCCTACCCTTGCAAGGGTCTTGAAAAGAGTCCTAAAAAATTTTAGCTCATCAAGTCCCACTTTGAATCTCATTGTGCGTAATATTTTCTGTGAACAATTATTCCTTAGCTGGAAGAAGATGAGCTGCGCTCAGCAAAAGGTCTACTGAGGCCAAAGCCTCTTTAAAGGTAGTTGGTTGCAATGGACTTGAAGAACGCTTAAAACCAAATTTAATACAAGTAAAGAAGGTATTTTGCTTAACCCACAATATGATTTATGTTAATTTTTGATGAGATAATGCTTTTTCAAAAAGCAAGTGACACTAAAACTCTATTGCATCTGTGCTACTCTGGCTTCATGTGATAGTTCACAGCTATTGTCGTCTTTGCCCAATAACTCCAGTGAGGATGAAGATCACAAAGATACAGGCCATGTAAATCAAAAAAGAACATTTTCTGAAACATTTTCTTCTCCCCATCAGCATTTCCACCACTTTTGCACTGTTAGCATTGGATAAGAGGTCTACCAAGCTAAGCTAAACACTGAAAGGTTTCGCCCTTAACCTGTCAGAGAGTTGAGGAGGAGATAGGCAAAAGCTTGTGTCATCTCATTAAGATGTTAAATCATTCAGATAATGTCCACGTAAAATTAAATATGGGAAATGCTATGTTCACACATAAGTGGCTGCAGCTGCTGCAGGTGTTTTTAACTGTTGTCAAAAACATTTATGAAGCGAAGCTTTCTCTAGTGACCTTTAGCACTCCACCAAGACTGAGAAGCAGGTCAACAGCTACAAAAAGCACATGAGAAAATCACTGACAAAGTCAAAGGTCTGGATCCCACAGACATAGTAATGCTTTTTGTCAACAATATTTTCCTCAATGGTAAGAAATACAATGCCTAAATAGTAGGTATAGACCTGCCAGATCTCAGTTCACTCATTCAGCCCACCACTCCTGAGCCCTCAGGCTCATTTTAACATTAAAAGTCTTCACATTTGTCTAAAGATACTTGAAGCAGGATAGTTTTTCCCAGTAGATAATATCTGAATTTCTAATGGCTCATCACCTATTTCAATGCAACTATAGTGCAAACGGTATAGTAATTAACTTGTAAAGATGGAATTATGCTGTTTAAAAAATGTTGAGAAATTCATTGAAGAACTATTAAAGAGTGCGTGGACATTTCACTGTAAGATACTTGCACAAGAAGACCTAGCAGGGGCTTACTACAGGGGACTTCCCAAGAGAATTCATAACACATGGTCATCATGAAGATTTTAGAATTGCGTTGCATACATCCAATAAAATTATATTTTTAAATAGTATACATATATTGTATGTAGTATATAAAATGTACAGTAGTTACAAATATTCCTGTTGGTACTTCTGGCAAGGAGAATTTAGAACAAATACAAGGATAGTGGCAAAATATTGTTTTAACGTAATAAGAGAAGATCATTCTGAATGGTAGCTGCTTCATTTTTTTAGAACGCCCCTATTTTCAGATAGTCTAGAAAACTTGTCACAAAGAAGAAGCCCCATCAGGAAAATAGCATTCACACTTGTGTAACCCTCTGCAGGAAAAAAATAATTTCACAATGCGTAATCCTTCAGCTTCTTCTCTCTCAGTGGATATTTTACATGAGCATAAAACACTGAATTATGCAACATAGTTTACTCTTCTCTTGACTGGAGGACTAAGCAATAAAGCAAACAAAACCACTCAGGAGCGTGAGATGACTTTAGGGTATGAATAGCAGGCTCTGGGGACATCAGTGTTTCAGTTGTGCTTCAGCACCTTGGAAGCGCACCTCCCAGCACCCTCACCATGTTTTGTGAGCACGCCTTGGAGTGCAGGAACCAGGCTGTTCTGAGCTGGACTGGGCAACGCCTTCAGGAGCTGCTCATGTGCCAGCTCCCTGCCACCATGCTAATACATCTAGTGGAGACACCAGGCCTTCAACATCAACGCTTTTGCTGCCCAGTCATTAAATAGCTGCAGATATAATGCTATGCTTATTAAAGAAAAAGGATAAAATAAGACTAATTTATCTGAAAAAACAGTTTTAAAAACCTGTGTACACTCTTGCTGAACGCTGTAGATCATCCAGATCATCCATTTCCCAGATATGTCCATTTTTTCATTTGTTACGTGTGTCCTGAGGGAAGTCATGTGCACAAGGAATAGAATAAGTATTAATATTCAGTCATTGATCTCGGTTACTTATGTTTTCAGTAAGTGTTTGTGTTGAATCTTTTTCACACTAATTTTCACTGAAACTTATTCACACCTCTTTCAGACTGAACCTTGCTATTTTTTCCCCATTCTCTCTGACACATATTTCTGTATTTTCTGTGGGTTTAATACAGAACACTCAGTATATTTTAAATTTGAAGCTGATGGTAGGATATAAATAACTGTTATTGTACAGAATCTCTAGAGCAGATGGGTGATTATGTAGTGTATGTAAGTTGATACTGGTTTGAGCATGTTGTAAACATGAAGATGTGAAATAAAACCTGCGCCAAAATCTTCATTCAGTTGCCCTAATTATCCACACAAGTTGCAAATACTGCCATCCGTCTCCTTAACAATGCAAACGGTAACTTTTAGTGGTCATGAATAAAGACTTTCTGAAATACTTGCATATATATATATATATATATATGTATATATATGTATTAAAAGTACTGTATAATACTTTGAACATACAGTCACTTAAACACTTTAATCTTTATTGTAGGTTTTCTTTTCCTGAACAGTGGTAAATGTTCATATATTCCAAGACTATATACTTTGCAGGGGCCTGCATGGACATGCTCAGGACAATGAATGGGATCAAAGTATTCACCAAAGCCCCGTGATTTGTTGAGGATTACTAGGAAGTGAAACTGTGATTCCAAGCAGGTGTGCAACGCCTGGGTGTGCCTACATGCACGACATGCTTGAGGAAGGGCCTGCCTGTGTATGAGACATTTCACCAGCCCTAATCCAGGCTTAGAAGCAATTCTTTCTTATTTTCATGGGAAAAAAAAAGTTAATAAGGCATCATTTCTAGCTAAGGACCTTCATATGCAGAGATAATGGTGACTTTTTGCTTTCTGCCTGGGCTGATGTCAGTACCAGCCTGGCTTCCACTGCTAACCCCAAGCTGAGCCGAACAAGGCAATTCTGGCTCTGCTGGTCCCTCGCAATCAACAGCGCCATCTCATGGGTCACTTGTATTAGGTCAAGGTTAGACACTTTGCCAGCCAATAAAAGTCATTTATTTAATTTTGGTTTTTTCAATTACAGACAAGAGTGGACAGCTATGCCTAAGGGAAAGGCCTGCCAGTCTGCTTGGACCTCTGAAGGAGTAACTCCAGCATGCACGGGACAGGCAGCAGCTGAGATTGCTCTCCTGCTCCACAGACCCAGGGTGTCTATCGGAAGACAAATTTTCCCAGCATTTGACCCATGTTGCTGCTGTTATCTACTACTAATCTAGAGAAGGAAACCTTTCTTGTGCCTTGTGACTCACATCAGGATAGTGAAGAATAAAAGCTGCCTCCAGCTCCCTCTGAAGGAGAGATAGGATCGTAAGAGGATGGGAAAAATTCAGTGAAGTTTAGGGGAAACCATGCTGGCGCGCAAGTGAGGAGCCAGTACTGTGGTTGCCACACCAGCCTGAAGACTGCTTCTTAGCAGATACTTATTCTGTCATAAACTTTCACTGAAATTTTTATTTGGAGATTAACCTTGCCATGCTCTGGTTTTCCCTCTGTTGCTTTAGAATGACCGTATTTCATATGGGTCTCGTGTGCGCTGAAACAAACTGCATGCTGGGATACCCAGTGATGGATATTTCCCAAGGTTCCAATTTTTCACTGTTCACATATTAGGATCTCAGCTGAGCTAGATTTCCAGCTGAATACCAGGAAAAGATAGTTTTATATAAAGGAAGCAGAACTTGTAGGCTTTCATTCTTTCTCTTCCCTCCTTCCTGAAGAAAAAGGCTTCTTCAACTCCAGATATCTACAAGTTAATATAAATACTGACTTTATGTAAGCACTCACTTGGGTTACAAAATATTGGAATAGTTTGTTGTTCTCTTTTAAACAACTGGCGGTGTGCCTTGTAGGGCAGACCTCTTCTGCTGTAATTCTCAGTACAGCTTTGCCGAAAGCATGAGAGATGGATTTAGCCTCGAATTCTCAAGTCCAGCTGTTGGGATTTTCTATCTTAAAAAAAAAACACAATAACAACAACATTTCTGCAATTGTACTGGGAGGAAGTTTGCTGCATGGAGACTGCAAGATCAGCCCTATGTGCTCCATGAAAGCCATTCACAATGTGTCTTTTCAGGGTAAATTCTCTTATAAACAGTTCAGATCTACAAGTACTTCTTCATAAACTTACACGTCTCATAACTGAGAGGTAACAATTACTTCTCATTATTTCACTGCAAAATGTTCCTAAGCTTGTGCTTGGTGAGAGGGCTATTGCTGCAGGAGATCTGCACACGCACACAGGACCAGAATCAGCTTCCCCTTCAATGCAGTTGATCATCCTCTTCCTCCCACTGCCTGTTAATAGGCCTACCAATAGCATTCTCATTCTGCAAAAAACAATAAATCCCTTGGCAAAGTACATAGTTGGCAATTCATATTGTTTGTCTTTGATGTACTGATTCCAGAGGGACTGTCAAGCATGTTCATCAAGAGAAGATGGCTATAAGGTGTATTTTCATAATGGTGGTTTTGTTACTAATTAAAAGCCTTTAACTATTAAATAGTTGGAGGAGTTAACTCTGCCAGCATTGACTATCATGTTCTGCAAAATCAAGCATAACTTCATCTCTATCCTTGCATATAATCTGTAGTCAAGCGGTAGCTTGGAGGAGTGGAAGGGGAGTACCCTCACACGTATCTCCTCTGACAACTTTTCTTTGCTCCTCACCCCTGGACTGTAGCTCTTCTGAGATCCTCAGATCCCTGCAGGCCCCTGGAAAGGGACAGATGAGGCTTTGTGGAAAACAAGCCAAGATGAAAAAAAAAAAGAATAATATTTTTTCAGAGCATTGGAAAAGGATAAGAAGCATCTTTGTTTAATAAAAAGAGAAAAGAAGAATTAGGGAATTACAGGCCACTCAGCCCAACTTAAGTTATTAGAAAAATGCTGGAAATATTAATAAGAATAAAAATCATGGTAAGCATCTAGAAAACAACAAGATGATAAATGACAAGAAAAAAACAAGATGACAAAACCAAAATGGTTTTGTCAAAAACAAACCACATCAAATCAACCTAATCCTCTCCTATGACAGAGCAACAAGCCTTGTCATTAGGAAGTAGTTGAGCTAAAATACAGCTTAGCTAAGCAATGGCTAGATTATATTTAGTTTTAGTAAGGCTTTATTGTCTTACATGACATATGTTTAAATCGGGTACAGGAATATGCACTGTAAGATTGATGTGAGATTGGAAACCATATTCAAAGTTTGTAATGGATTGCTATTAACCAGAAATTGGGTTTCTTCAGAACGGTGTTCTACGTCTGGGATAATCCAATATTTTCATTACTGTTGGTATAAAGCCATCTGGTGTGACCCCACAAACGGCTGTGGTAGGAGCAAGAGGCCAAGTGCAGCACAGGGGCAGGACGAGGCAGCTGGGTACAGGGAATGGGGGGACCTCGGGTTTGGCCACTGGAGAAATGCAATGTCAAAGCCATCTGAGCAGACCTTCCCTGTCTCTCCCCCAAAGGCACAGCACAACCACCTTAATCCTGACATTCCCTAACTGCTGGAGTTTGCAACTAACATGTCCGGCAGAGGAGTCTGATGCGCAATAGTTAGTCCTCACCCCCCCCTGCATGTCCTCCCCTGAGGCACTGACTCCAGCTCTCCCACTTCCCTGCTTCCTGACCCCTGGACAAATGCATGATTGAGGGCAAATAACATTATGTATTGCTATTGCAGCACGGCACGGAGGCCCAGCCAGTCTTTACCATCATGCAATAAAAAAAAATTCCCAATAGGAAACAGAATGTTGTATCCACTCAAGAGACCCAAATTTTATCATTGGCAGTACCCAGTACTATTTGTTTCTGGGGCATCTGAGGACATAATAATCAGGATAGATGATGGATGTGATAAAAAATGAGATTCTGAGGGAAGAAAAGACAAGGCAAACACTGGAACAATCAGTCTAATACACAGGAGACAATAGGAAGACTTATGGGGTTTAAACTCAAGCCAAAGAATAAGCTAGTTTTCTATATCTATAAGATGTTAAACTCCAAATTCCTAGTCATTGAAAGAGACCTAAAGGCATCTTGGCAGAGGTGAGGTGCATTTTAAGGAGGGACCTGAAAGAGGGAGTGTTTCTACTGAGCATGTGCAGGCCATAAAACCTGACACCCTCTGAGCAGCTTACAGGGTTTAAATCTCCTATCTAACGTCTTACAGAGGGGGGCAAGAAGCAGAAAGAAATTTTAAGCTTGCAGAAGCCTATGGCTTTTCTTTGCTCAAAGAACTTGTCACGATCATAATAAAGATATAACTGTGAGTATGTTCAGACCACATCATTTAAGAGTACAGAAGTAACAGATTCACTGAATCTTCCTCTTCCCTGTGGTTCTCAGGAGGGGATAACTGCAAACAGACACAGAGAGGAATGAAATTTGTCTAGAAGATGGAGAACCGTCAACATTTATTCTCAGACCCAGTCACATATATTGTTTATTCACGGCACAAGAAAGCAGAACATAAATCTATTCAAATAATTTTAAAACGTAAATGCACAAAACAAAATAACACGCATTGAGCGTTTTCCAAACTCTGTTCTTATGTGCTAAAGGATATTGTCAACAATCATTTGAAGATGCTTTATCTGTCCCCAGGCCAGCCACAGAAGAAACGGTGTGTTGAGCCACCTGCAGTAACGCTTCTTGCACAACTCTGAGGAGGCAAATACAGGTAATAGCAATATAGGATCTTCTCAAATGCTTGAAGGCCCAACTAAGGGCACATCTTGAAAACTGGCTGCCTTAATGGAGATCTCTAAAAGGCAAAGACAGGATCAAGGGTTTTTTAGGCAGCAACTTACTCCTAATTTTGAAATAGCTCATTCAAGTTCACCTATTCCAAAGCTAACGATTTTCCACTCTCCTTTCCTGCCTAGACTTTTAGAAAGCACATCATCATCAGGTCTTAGTATAGGTCTAGAGATATCCAGACAGCTATATGGATCTGCACTCAAGTGCAGATTAGTGCTTAGTGCTACAATTAGTGCTGCAAACTTTCGAGGTCTCTGAGGAGAAAAGCACAGCCTTATGCAATGCTGCAAAAGCTGGGACCAGGCGGTATTACACAGCGGTGCATGACGCCTGCCTCGGCTGTGGCTTGAGCCAGTAGCACAGCAGATGGTCGAACAGATTTGTTTGTTCCTTGTATGTGTATCGTCTGCTGTGTTCTGGTAAAGGCTATGTCTGGGCAGCAGGGAGGGAGGCTGTCTATTTACCTTGTGCTGGCTTCCTGGCTTCGGGGCTCTCCGAAGGACAAGGGAGACAACACCTCCCCAGAGGGGCTGAGTGTTTCACGAAAAAGCTTCTGGAGCCGGGCAGGGAGGAGCAGAAAGAGGTCTCTACAGGGTAAGGAGCAGATCTGCAGAGTGGAGAGAGGGACTTCCGTGACCGTGGTCTCACTGTCATTTTAATTACAACCATAGAATAATCTAGGCTGCAAGGCACCTCTGGAGGTCATCCAACCCCACCACCTGCTCAGAGCAGCACCAGCTTAGAAACTAGATCAGGCTGCTCAGTACCTTGTCCAGTCAGGCTTTGAATGTCTCCAAGGACAGAGATTTCACAGCTTCATGGGGCAACATGCCCTAGTGTTTGACCACCCTCACTGTGAACATGATTTTCCTTATATCTAATTTGAATTTCCCTTGCTGCAGCTTGTGTCCCCTGCCTCACATACTATTGTTGTGCATCTCTGGTTCCATCATTGGCTATCTCACCTAGCCCACTAATTGGCTAAAGACAGCAGTTATATCCTCCCCCTTTGCCTTCTCTTCTGCAGACTGAACAATACCAGCCTGTTCGCATGCATCTTGTGCTCTAGCCCCCAGACCATCCTGGTAACCCTTCGCTGGACTCAATCCAGTGTGTCAATGTCTTTCTTGTACTGGGAAGCCCAAAACCGGAAATAGCAGTTCAGATGCAGTCTCAAAAGTGCCAGATAGAGAGGAAATATCACTTCATTCAACCCGTTGGCTATGCTCTTGCTAATGAAGCCTTGCATGTGGTTAGCCTAATGAAATTTGAGTACGAACTCTTCCCAAAAGCAGCCATCAAGCTCCTACCATGCTCCTAGCTACGTCTTCTCCCTTCCTTCTTTATGCGAGTACTAGCACTTGGCAGCACATGGAGATCCGTGTGAGTAATCTGGTGGAAAAGTAGTCTTTTTTACCCTTGAAGGGGAGCTAGATGCGCTATAGTTGGTGCAGGAGAGATGGCAGGAACACAGGATGACAAGACACCTCTGGCAGTAGCAGCCTCCACTTAGTCAGGTTAAAGCAAGACCAGTGCCTGAAAAGAGGAGGAAACAGACTCAAAGCCAAATTTCAGAAGTGATGGAAAGTAAGATAGAAAGTCTCCTAGGGATCCAGAAGGGATTTACTGCATCACAAGAAGCCACTGAGTGTTGCTGAGGAAACAGACATGTTAGAGAGAAAGCAAGTGGAGAGGAGAGACTCAGTGCAGTCACACAGAGGGCAGGGGAGTGCTGCATGTGCGTCGCCTTGGTCAGGACTGGAATTAAAGTCTGAGCGACAGACTTTTCCTTAGAGTGCCGAGGGTATTTACTGCACTGGGCTGGCAGGAGCCAAGACTAGCGTGCAGCACGAAATCTAGAAAGAAGCAACTTTAAATTGAAAATCCTCCATATTTTATTTAGAAGGAATGGAATAGACACTGATACAGTTATAACTCAGCTGTGTTGGCGCTATGCGTGACTTGTTCCAGGAGGTCACTTCTAAACTGTTTATGTGACCAAGAGTACATTTCCCTTTGAAACACACGGACAGACAGAGTGCTGCAAATTAAACAAAGCCTGGCATTGGCGAGAACTATAAACCCTTCACCAGCTCCGCACTGACATTTAATCTCAGCAGTATCACAGGAGGAACTCTGCTGTGCTCTCTGTACTCCAAAGGGCATTATCACAACAACAACAACCCAT